ACTCCGCCCCTTCGCGGGCCGTCACCTCCCCCATTTGGAGGTCGGCGAGGGCGAACTCCGCCTCCTCGAGGAGCATCGCGAGGCAACGCCCGAGGCAGGGGAGGGCCGGCCCCGCGAGGAGCAGCGTCGTGCACTCCCGCTGCTGCTCCTCGAACTGACGGGTGGTGACGTCGGCGTAGTCGGTGAGCCGCGTCGGGACCCCCAAAAGCTCCACCGTCGCGCCCGGGAAGAGCTCGGAAGGGTGTAAGGACGGGACCCGGGTGCGTTTGAGGTAAATCTGGTTCGTTTTTTTCTGTATCATCTCCACCGACCCGTCGTGGTAGTAATAGCGCAGCACAAAGTACTTCGTCAGAAGGGCATGGGGGTCGTACTGCTCACAGTCAAATGCCATGCGATCGTCTTGCTTGGAAAGAGCCATCTGGATTCAGGCGGTGCGTGAAATTTGTTCTGGAAATTGAAGCCTGGCCTCCCTTCGTTTCTCATCTAACCTATCACTTGAGGATTGTGAAAATCATCAAAAAAAAAGGGTAATAAAGTGGGAAAGTTGGATTGAGATTCAGTACCGAAAGCCTACCGTATCGTAGTTTCTAATATCGTGCATAAGGCCTTCCCTCAGCTGCTTCTTAATTATTTTCTTCTGAGTGAATCTGTTGTACAAGCATCTAATAAATCAAATCTATTGAGAAAGCAACCTCCACACGTGAACTCTACCTTAAGCGGGAGACAAATATTTTAGCCGTCCCATTCACCGTCTTCAAGTGTATGACCGCCCTCTCGATTCAGTCTTTTATTTTATTTTTGTTGTCTCATCTAATCTTTTTTTAGCCATGTACTCGTTTTGAGATCTTTCGGAGCCGCTCAATCTCCATTTTAGTGCGACGGGTCTCCATCTCTGCCCTCTCCCGCTTTCTCCGAATCTCTGCGATCTCTCGATTCCGCTCCTTTGCAGTGACACTGCTGAGCTTCATTTTTTCTTGAAATGCCAGTAAATCCGCGGAAGTTTGGTCAGAAAGAAAGGCGATATCATCCTTTAGTCGTTCTATCTTGACTGCTATGGAGCGCATCCGTCCTTCGTCCTGTGCGCTTTGTGAATTCAACTTCTCGATTCGCTCTTTCATCTCAGCAGCCTCGTATTCAAAGTCATCAATATACTTCTGAAGTGCATCTACCAGCTCAGAAGGTAGGTTTGAAATGGTAGCCGCCACATCATTCAAGGAATTGGGATCCAGACCAGCTAGCCTCTGTTGGAGATGAATGACATTAGGGTTCAGACACTCGCTTCTGCGCACACGTGTCTCCTCTAATTCGGCGCATTCCCACAGGTCATGCTTAATAGATGACTCTTTCATGACATGCAAAACAGGATTAAAATGTTTTGAATTCAATAAAATTTTGCACGCGTTCTTGATCGCGTGGCACAATAACCAACTAAAAATGAAATGAATTGAGATTTAAAATTTCACAAGAGTGAGAAGCGAAAAGAAGGAAAAAATTGCTATATAAAAGCGTTGATTATCTTAAGATGCTCAGCTACACTCAACGTGCTTTTTTTGGATATTGCTAAATCATTTTTCCAGGCACTAGCATCCAGGCCTGATTCCATACGATTGCACCTAGTGCGATCACAGACAACCCTTCTGGTGAATCGACTGAAATCTTTTCCTCATTCATGACATTACTCCACCCGCACGCCCTCTGATAAGGACTTGAAGAGGAAAGTACTTCAAATTCCCTCCCCGCTTCTTTCTTCAACAAAACAACTTTGATTGCGACTGCATCGAAATAAGTTTCCACATTTGATGGTATACCTTTATTAAATTCGGCTAGATTTTGCTCGCAAAAAAAGGCAGAGAAAGGGGAAAAGACAGAAACTCAGAAAGTGAAGAGACCCCACCTAAGCATAACAAATCCACTCCTTCCAAAAATCTTACGTTTATTAAGCCCCAAAAAATGAAACCATTTCATCCGTCGTGGCACCCTCATGATACCTGCTCACGTAATTTACATCATCTCAGAAATATACAAGTATTATACATAGTGCGCATTCCACTATACTCTTTTATGGCCGGTCAGCCTTTTTCTCCATGTTAAAATAAGAAGTAACACCATTAGTTGCTATCGGTGAATTCAGGCCAATGCTCACGTAAAAGAGTTTCGAAGTCTTTCTCTAACTGTATTCCAAGGCTTGTGGGAACATACCACTCTATTAGCTCAGACAGCCCAACCTTCCCCCTCACTGCCTTTCGCACATCCCACGCGCTGAGGAACCCATTTTTCTCGTCTGCGTTTCTAGCCACAAATTTAGCCTGAAATTCCTTTATCCGCACTCGCCCTCGGCTGTCTTTTTCTGGGAAAAGTTTCTGCCAGAGACGCTCCAGCAGAAGACGCCGTGTGGCAGGCAATTCGGGAACTAACAACTCCAGGTAGTAGACATAATCCACACTGCCATCCCGATTGGTATCCAACATACAAATGGCCTCCGGGCATTCGATGTAGAGACGACGCGAGCGCAGTGCGCCCAAAAAGTCTTGAACGCTAAGAAAAAGGCTATCCGACGTATCCGCAGAACGCAGGGCTAAGCCAAGCAGGCGCAAAGACAGCCCGCCATCGGACGTAACCTTCCGTCGGTGCTCATCAACGATGATGGACATCATTTTCGAGGTCACTTTCATCCTTTCCACCACCTGGTTCTTCTGCTCAATAGTTTGGTAAGCAGAAAAGCTTCGCTGGGTGGGGTCAGCTTCAAGTGCTAAGGTCTGTGAAAAACCATTGCAAACCCCTTTGATCGGCCACACGCCGCGCAGCATTGCGACGAAGTCGACGTCATCACAAAAGGTTCCAGAAATGCCAGCGTAGTATTCCTCAAACTCCTGTACGCTGATCACTCCCTCAGGGTTTGTAGCCAGATTAAAGGAAGATTGAAAATCCTCAGCAACCTCACTCGCAGTGCGCGCGCCGCTCACCATGACTGGGTGACCCTCCGCTCGAAAATTAGCATGCAGCTCCGATAGCGGGATGGTACCATCTGGATTCAAAGAGAAGGTGTTCAGCACACGACGCACCCATACCCTCCGTAGCGGGGAGATATTATAGCGAAGGGCAGCCACAAATTCAGATGGATCGAGAGTGTCGGATCCAGATTGATCCAGTATCGTAAAAATTACCTTTAGTTGGTCCTCAGCTAGAAGTATCTCGACCTCCTTAAGCGATGCGCGAAAGGCATCGCGTGTAATGCGGAAACCGCCACAGTCATTGCTGATTCCAAAAGCACGACTGAGCTTTCGGATGCCGTTGACAGAAGCAGGCCCATTTAAGAGAAGTCTCTTCGTCATACTAACAATTGAAGCATAATGAGTAATAGTCGAAGTACGGTTGTTTAGTGTCATTCTTATAAAGATACAACTAGACTATGCGATAACTGCCCAGACATAAATAATGCGCTAGAAGTACAAAAAGAGAAAAGGGGCAGGTTTAGGTTATTATCATTCTTTTTTTTTTGGAGGGGGGGGGAAGGGGGCAAATTATCGGAGCATAAAGCATTGACGTTCTGAGTTCAGATTCAATACAACGGGGATCAAATGTAACCTCGTTGTCTTTTTTTGTGTTTGCTAATGATACCAATACATCAAAATGTGCAAATTGTAGCACCAAAAGAAGCAAGTAATACGTACATACACGCGTGGTTGTGATAGATCCTAGGCTTAAATCAAGAGTAAAGGTTATAATGTACAATGAAAATTCAATTATTCAAGCCTCTTTAGTCTTTGTTTTCGCTTTAAATGAGCTCAAAAGTATTTACCTTCTGGACGTAATGGATAAAGGGTTATATGGATTGTCCTGGAGAGTTGCCCTTAGGGCAGCTTGATCTTCGGCTACCTTTACCGGGTTTAAATTCCACCATTCGTCTACATTGCTCATCTTAAACACATCCGGTCCGTCCGCACGTTTGTACAACGTGAGCGGTGTGAACTGAGATGCCACCAGTTGCTGTTGCTTAATATGGCGAACCCGTTTGATATCCTCATCCGCGCGCTGCATTGGCGATACATAGCTAGAAGCATTTACGAATGCTTTTTTTTGTTCCTCCGCAGGTAGTCGGGCTCCGGCTTTGGTCGAACATGCCAATTGGCGTGGTTCCCCTCCAGCGCCGTACTGGCGCACCAGTGCTGCTCCTTCGTCCGCTTCTCCACGGAGTTGTCGTCGATGACGACCATCGCAAGGTAGCTCATAGGGGGCTCACGGTCCTGGAGGGCGGGGCACTGATAGGTATAGCGATTGAGGGATCGCGCCTTCATCCTATTCGTCTCCCACACCTGTGGCTTCGACGAGTTTGGGAGGCGAAAGTACGCCGTTCCCTTAATTGTCTCCGGAAAATGCGTGCTCACGACCTCAACACCATTATAGCGTGTGTTCGTGTTCATGCAGGGGCGCTCAGGAAAGGGGTGGGCCTCATCCTTCATAGTCGGATTCCATCGAGGTTTCTCATAGCCCTTGTCCTCGGCTGCCAACAAATTATGCGAATCTGATAAATTCATCTTTAAAGTTCAGGAGGTGAAAGAGGGGAGTAGGAAAATGGTTTAGTTTTCCCCACCAGGGAAAGGTGGTAGGAAATGGAAAATTTATACCGGGCAGAACAGCAATAGTATACATATTTCTCTGGAGGACGATTGTTACGAAGTAAAACTAATTCACTCTCTTGCAAATACGTCACGTCCGTTATTACGCAGCATAAACAGAGTTTTGATCGATAGCTCTCGTGCCCTGGCCCCAACACAACGATCGATATACCTACCTTCGAAAAACAACAGCGTTGTAGGGTACGTAAGAATGGAATACCTATTCACGAGATAGGGAGTCTTAGGCCCGGGAACAAGCGCAATTCTCAATTCATCAGGATTACCTAAATTCACAGTATTTAATGAGGAAATGAACGTACGTGTAAGAGGATCTTTCGAAACCGAGTAAGGGTACGTCTTTTGATTAATATCGTTGTCCGACATGCCAGCCTTAACTGCAATCTTCCCTTTGCTCCCGCCTAGCTTCGATGAATCAGTACGAACATCACCTGAATAAATGTCTCCACTGTGTACGACCACCAAGATTGCCTTTTTCTTGAAGTGCTGCATAAACTCATTTAGGACTTTTTCATTGGGAAGCTCCACCAACTCATAGCCACTAGCAGGAGGTTTACTCACTTGGAATACTTTTTTTAGAAAAAGGAAGGGCCATGAGTGGCGAATCATGGCGCTTCCTACTTGTGCGCTAGCCTAAGTCCGTTGCTTTTAGTCTGTGCAAATTATTAGTGAAAAAAAAGGAATAAACGTATTATCGATTTTGCATCAAAGAGTAATATAGGTTTAAAGAGACCCTCTAAACACACAAAAACTAAAAATTGAGGCACTCAACGAAATGACTAAATGCTAATATAATGTTAATTACCCTCTCTGTTTGTCCTAACACAATTTCTTTTGTGAAACTCGCAGTGTTACCCGCAGAATACTCAGAAGAAATGGGGTCAAGTGAATCAAAACATAAACTCAATATTATGAAAACGTGTGCTATGCTTAATGGAAGCAATTCTCCTCTCAAAAACAACACACAGACGAAATGATCACGTAACACAACGTTCCTGCCTTCAATCATTACGCCACCTTATCCCGTATTGCGTCTCCCTTTAGGTTTTCCAGCCTGCGTTTTTCTCGTACTCTAACCACATCCGCTGTTCCTCCTCTGGGGAAGGCGTTGGAAACATGAAAATCATTACCAATGCGCACACAGGAATTAAAAAAAGTTGAATTTTCAAAATTTTCTTTGACTCAGTCTTGAGCTTGCCTATTAGGCTGTTATCGGATCCTGGAGCAACCTTTTTACTGCTGACACTAGGAATCGCGTTATTGAGCAACACACGCGTCTGCCACGAAAGGCGAGGTCGACAGGCACCAAACAACATATTGTTTCTTGTGAAAACGCTTGTGAGACGCAGTGGTGAAAAAAAAGTAAAAAATAGGAATAACTAACGAAGAACAAGGATAACTAATTAGCCACATGACATTTAAGACAAGCCAATACCTTTCGCTTGAATTAATCCTCTAACAATATTAGGGGACACACAGAATAAAATCACAATGACCCCTCGTTAAACACCT